CAAACGTGACCAACATTATAACGCTTTAAAAGATTTTAATAAAATTTGTTTTGATGGTAAACACATTTGAGTTCAGCAATTAAGAATAATTCTTTTACATGTGTGATCCTTAATTTTCCAAATATCCCGAATTTTCAGTCTATAGAAAAACGAGGTTATTTAAGTTAGAGAAGTATTGTCATTTTCTGAAGAGGTTCATTAATACTCTTTTATAACACACAGGTACAGGCCAATTATTTTTTCCACTTGGCATGTGTGTCAAGCCATGAAAAGCACAGTTGGTGCTCGTGGCTTGGTTGAGTGTCCTCAGCTCACACACTGGGTACGGGATCGATCCCTGGTACGGGTTAAACGTTGCGCACGTTTCCTTACACCTGCTGCCCCTGCTCACCTAGCAGTACGTTGGTACCTGGGGGTTACACGATTAGTGTGGGTCGCATCTTGGGGGACAAGATTAACCTTAGTTGTCCAAAATGCTCTGCATGACCAGGGGCTTCCTGTATAGTATATCAATTATGTTAACAAGGTTTTTAATAGTTTTATCATGTACTTCTAGAAATAAAGATTATAATAATCAGCAGTTCTCGCGTGCCTGGAGAAATGTTAGGTGGGGTCCATCTGCTTTAAGTGTACGTTTCTCCAGCAAGTGTTGGCCAACCCTACTTCAGTAACCATCTCCCTGAACAATAGTCGAAAATTGTAATGCAACTCTCATTTCCTCTCCCTAAATGTTTTCAATGGGTTACCAAACTATTCATACAGACAATGGTGGATTTAACTACAGCTACGGCTTATGTCTGGTTGGTATTTTTTCCCAGGAACCGTAAGCTTTTCCGCACAAGATGTCTAAATCACTCACATCTGTATTCATTGACAAAAGAAAAGCGAATAGGGGAGGGAAAGGCAAAGAAGAGGGGAGAAGCGAGAAGAAACGAAAATACATTTTTTTTTTAGCACGCCAAGGTAGGGTGACCCGAAAAGTCAAACACTTTCACCATCAATCACTCTCACTGTCTTGCTAGAGGCATGTCGACATTACAGCTCAGATGGCCCTCTAAACTGAAATATCCCCACTCCTCTTTCAAAAGTGCAGGTAATTTCCCGCCTCCAAGAATTCTAATTAACCTATTTCGCAAAATCTATACAGGCACTGCTATGCTCGCTCTTTACATGTAAAAATCACAAAAATAATTTTGCTTCACCGTTATCTAAAACGTCTGCTGATCTCAGGTCAACTAACAACGTCTCTGATGGCCGCTCACACAAGCTTCCATCCAGCCCAAATTTATGTACTCCCTTATCAGCCTACCTTCATTCTTTATTTCTATATTAAGCCATCTCAACAAATTCTCTTCCATCTTTAATTATTTATCGTTCGTACCACTGCTGGCCTTTTTTTTCCACATAATATTCACACCAAACACTGATCTCTTCTAACAACTACATTGCCTCCAGCCTCCTTTATGCACCATTCAGACCTTGGCACTAATAGCATCGGCACCTTTATACTCTTATATTTTCCTTTATGAATCCACTGAATTTTTTTTTTCATTATATCTCTAAACACTCGTCTATTTTAATTCACAGATTATTTGTCAACACGTTTACATCCAATATAAATGCAGTACGTATATTAAATTCCTCTCTGCATGTATTATGAAGCTAACAGTGTTGAGCATTATGATACACCACCAGCCTGATAATGACGCAAAACGAAGGAAAACAAAGTATTGTATATAAAAATAGTACTTTAACAGAGTGAATAAACATTTTTATATATTCTGTAAATAATTTTAAATACAATAAGCCCAGATAATGCTATAAGAATCCCATATCATAATTCCCATCAACTTTGTTGCCAGGCTGTTCGTTTGTCTTGCAGACTTTTTTGTTTGAAGAAAGTCAGGTAGTTCAGAGCTAAATAGCCACCCGAGGATAAATGTGGCTAATATTCATTCATATATTTTATCTGGACATGATACATAGTTGTACAATGAATTATAGTACATTAATGTCTGCCAATCAAAATCAGGTTTTAATAAGTGACAACGGACACTATTCTAAATGGACACGAAGCTTACCAATCAAATTTAACAGTTAGGTTATTACTAATTAACTACCAGGAAGAATTATGGCGCCGCAATACTTCTCTACACCCACTATGTTAAGCCCAGCCCACCTGACCTTGACAACTGGCTGCCAAACACTAACTTTATCTTCCTTCATGGGATGGGGGACGGGGGAGGCGGTAGAATCTGGTTAAACATTTCTTAATCCTCATAACAAACCTGTTTTCTTCTCACATCTTGGGTAAAATGACGGATGCGTAACAAAACTTTTAAACCTCTTGAAAGTGTCCCAGTCTTGAGTACATATACAAAATACTAAAAAAAAAGTCTACTTAGCTTGGCTAATAAATTCACTCAGAATATGTTAATTACACTGGCCAGCAATGTATTCTGTTCACGTTTAAATAAAAGTATCTAATTTTGGGACACTAAATTCAAATCTGAAGGGTATTAATGTTCCAAGAGAGTGAAACGGACCACTATAGTGAACTGTTTCACTAAGACAGCCAGAGTGGAGAAGAGGTATCAGGGAAACCTTAAGACCAGTTTGATTATTATAATGCAAAAGAAGCGCTAAACCTACAAGGATCATACAGCAGTACCAGTTTGATGTCTGACTACTGCTATAGATTCAGGAAGGATATAGGAAAGCACTGGTTTGGTAAGAGTTGTGGATGAGTGAAAAACTCTCGAGTACCGTCACAGAAGCCAAGATGTGTAATTTTAAAAATTGGATAAATATATGAGTGGGTGTGGGTGGGTGTGAGCTGGACCTAACTAGCTTGTGCTACTAGGTCGGATGCCGTGCTCCTCCCTTAAGTGACTTATCTGACCTCACTAGGTCAGCGAGGTCAGAGCTTTAAGGTCACTAGGTAAGTGAGCTTAAGCCGGTGGAAAGTTGGACCTGCCTCGCATAGGCCAGTAGGCCTGTTGCAGTGTTCCTTCTCATGCTGGAGAACCATACCCAACAAGCGAATAAAATGAAAATTGATTTAAACGTTTGTACGAGTGGATTTTGTTTTTAATCTTTGTTATGCATACTTATAATGATCATAATAATACCTATGATTGCTGGGTAATAAGTGTGGTTCTTCAACCTTAAATATGCGCATGTTAGTGGCCTTGTGCTTAATATTTTATTACAAGTAACATACATTTTATATACCACAGAAATAATTTGCTTTTGTTTCAACAAACTCTGACTTGTGATCAGCGCATCAAAATTAATTTAAAGCAACTAATTTGGCTTCTCTTGTGGCTTAGCGTTTTTTTTTTATAATAATTTGGCTTCTGAACTGGATAAATGGTTAAATTTTGTTAACTAGTTATTTGAAGAGCCAAATCCTATTTTTTTTTCTGGCTTTGCAACTCCTATATATAATTACACTAATTTTTTTAAATACGAAACAAAATCTAATGTTCAGGAACAATCTCCATTAACGCTTTTAACATTAAATATCGCGTTTAATATTTTTTCATTTAAATTATTACGTATGTTAACCTCCAAAATATTTACATTACAACCTACACAAATATGCATATAACGATGACAAACTAATATTGAACCAAAATAACAGACGAGCCATTTTAAGTTCACTTAGAGAATGGTAACCATAGTTATATCATTATAAGAATAGGCTGAAAAAATTTCCTTCCCTGTTAAAAGGTTTTTGACATGGATTTTTTTTACACTGACGTTATATAAGTAGTTATGCCGAATTTATAATGGAATAACGCAATAATGTCGAACAATGTGACTTATTTCCAATGTGGCTCCAGATTTGAGTCATATAGAGATAATTAGTGTATATAGGCTGTCTGAATTTTGAATTACATGACTGACATACAAGTGAAACCTGGTGAATGTCTTATTATTAATGTGGGAGCGCTAAACTCAAAGGGGTCATACAGTGCCTGGAGAAATGGGAGGAAATTAAGCTCGATCCAAGGAAAGGGATGTCAGGTTCAATTCCTTGGATCAAGAGCCCTCATACCGGCATCAAGGAACCTCCCTCGAGAGAATAGATAAATGAAGGATAACCATACAAGGGCACCAATGGAAATAATTTGTTATACTTAACTAGGTTTGTCTTTTCATTCATTGGCGCGCGCTAAACCCATAGGGGATATGCAGAGCCAGGGAAGACAATCAGAATCCATCCAGGGAAGGGGAGGACAGGTCTGATTCCTTGGATCAAGAACCCCTCAAACGCATCAAGACTACTGAGAAGTTAACTGGGTTATGTTAATTCTATAATTTAAAACCTTTATAAATGTTCCAAATAAAAATGTGGCATAAATAAGATTATAATCAAGGGGAAAGCGCTAAACCCGTAGGATTATACAGCGCATGTGGGGGGAATGGAAGGTATTGAGGCTTAATTCAGGGAACTGGAGCCCAGATCCAGTGTCCTAGATCAAGAGCCCCTCACCAGCATCAAGGAACCTCCCTTGAGGGAGGCATAAATAAGAACCTAAAAATCCTGAAGTTCACAAGCCTAGAACACTACGTTAGGCCTACAGGCCCATGTTTGGCAAGTCAAACTCACTAATTTTTATAAATGGTTATAACTATGACCATAATTTTTAAAGGGGTGGAGAGGTAAGCCAGTGGAAGGTCTCAGTCAGATAACCAAAAACTCCAACGGCAAGTGTCAACAAGAGTGATATAGATAAGTGCAACAGCTCCTACATAGTCATTGAAGATGAAATCTTGGGATAGTTTTAGAAGTATGTGGAACAAGCCTAGGGTTATGTAAGGTTGGTCAGGAAACAAGACAAGTGTTTCCTGACCAACCTTACCTAACCTAACTTGTCCCACCTAGTTATAAAACTTTCCAAGATTATAGCTTCAATGACAATATATGGGAGTTAGGTGGACTCTTCTACAATACTCTTGTTTAATATCCACGTTGAATCAACATTACTCACCATAAAAAGGCCCATTTGTAGTTGACAGTGGAGTGTTACATCTGATAATGGTGGAAAAATTAGCTGCAGCGCGGCCCAGGGGTCGTGAAGCTGCCATTGCAGCTCAACAACAGTAGTAACAACAGGAACAACAGTGGCAAACAGTAACAAGAGCAGCAACAACCTTAATGTCAGCAGTGTGAGGTTATCTGTGAGCAGCAGCAGCTGGTCTGGCTGACTCCCTGGCTCACTCTCCTCCTCCTCAGTTGCTTAACCATCAATTATTCTTCATGTTATCATCATTTAAATACACAATACACTACCTCTAATTTTTCATTGTCTCTGGTTATGAAATATATTGGATTTACTGATACTTGTGTACAGCCTTAATGATCAATGTGTAGTTGACAGCCTTAAACTTCATTAAATAAGGATCCTAATGGAAATAATTTACTGACTTTTTTTTTTTGGGTTATCCTGGGTAATTTATACTATATATGATAATTGTACTTATGAGTACCTGTGCCTATATAAACTTACTTAAAGTTTTGCACACATGATATATGTAAATATTTAGACACAGGTACCCATATTATTATAATCAAATTTGTGTAAATGGCCTAGGATAACCCTAAAAAAATTATCGGTGACATTTCTATTGGGTGTATTTCTCTTAGTATATATATGCTGTAATAAAGTTGGTAGAATTACCGACAATATGTAAAGTAAAAGGACACAAGTGCAACTAATGTGACATTTTATTGTGGCAACGTTTCGCTCTCCAGGAGCTTTATCAAGCCATTACAAACAATACACTCTGAGCCTTTATATACCCTCTGTGTCCATGTATTGTTTGTAATGGCTTGATAAAGCTCCTGGAGAGCGAAACGTTGCCACAATAAAATGTCACATTAGTTGCACTTGTGTCCTTTTACTTTATATATATATGCTGTAAATTCACTTTAATATTTGTTTTAGGGATCAAAATATCATTATCCGGTGGTGAAAATGTTACCTTTGTACCCTTAATGGACATAGTCAAGTTGATAGGCTTTAAACCTCATTAACCAGCCAAATAAATTTTAGTTTCAATTAATTTTAATCAGTATTCATACTCATGCAATTATTTATTTCTATCACCTCTGAGGTAAAACTATCAACTCTGTTTTATATTAAGATCTCTTAATAGTAACATTGCTGTTGAAATATGCATTGTTATTATTACAATAAAAAGTAAGCACTAAACCCACAAGGATCACACAGCGCAGCATATTGTTGCTTAACAATCATTACATTTGAAAAGCTTATTTTTTTATATATTCACGAGGGAGCGCTAAAAAAGTAGGGGCTATATAGCACTTCAGGAAATGGAAGGCAGTCAGGTTTGATTTAAGGAACTGGAGCACATATCCAATTCCTTGGATCAAGAGCCCCCTCACCAACATCAAGGAACCTCTTTTGAAAGGAAATTGTTATTTCTTTAAAACTACTCGTTCGTGGAGATATGTGTTTTTTGGGACCTGACGACCTGTTGGAGTGAGCATTATTGTAATCAATAAAGAAGCGCTCAACCTACAAGGGTCATACAGCACAGGCTCGAGTGAACAGGGTAGTTTTTTTTTTTTAACAAATCGGCCGTCTCCCACCGAGGCAGAGTGACCCAAAAAGAAAGAAAATCCCCAAAAAGAAAATACTTACATCGTCATTCAACACTTTCACCTCACTCACACATAATCACTGTTTTTGCAGAGATGCTCAGAACACAACAGTTTAGAAGGATATACGTATAAAAATACACAACATATCCCTCCAAACTGCCAATATCCCAAACCCCTCCTTTAGAGTGCAGGCATTGTACTTCCCATTTCCAGGGCTTAAGTCCGGCTATATAAAAATAACCGGTTTCCCTGAATCCCTTCGCTAAATATTACCCTGCTCACACTCCAACAGCTCGTCAGGTCCCAAATACCATTTGTCTCCATTCACTCCTATCTAACACGCTCACGCACTCTTACTGGAAGTCCAAGCCCTCTCCCACAAAACCTTCTTTACCCCCTCCTTCCAACCTTTTTGAGGACGACCCCTACCCCGCCTTCCTTCCCCTGCAGATTTATACGCTCTCCATGTCATTCTACTTTGATCTATTTTCTCTAAATGACCAAACCACCTCAACAACCCCTCTTCAGCCCTCTGACTAATACTTTTATTAACTCCACACCTTCTAATTTTCACACTCCCAATTTTCTGCATAATATTTACACCACACATTGCCCTTAGACAGGACATCTAAACTGCCTCCAACCATCTCCTCACTGCAGCATTTACAACCCAAGCTTCACACCCATATAAGAGTGTTGGTACCACTATACTTTCATACATTCCCTTCTTTGCCTCCATAGACAACATTTTTTGTCTCCATATATACCTCAATGCACCACTCACCTTTTTTCCTTCATCAATTCTATGATTAATCTCATCCTTCATAAATCCATCCGCTGACACGTCAACTCCCAAATATCTGAAAACATTCACTTCTTCCATACTCCTCTCCAATTTTTCTTTATCTAAATCATTTGATACCCTCATCACCTTACTCTTTTCTATGTTCACTTTCAGCTTTTTACCTTTACACACTCTCCTAAACTCGTCCACTAACCTTTGCAATTTTTCTTTAGAATCTCCCATAAGCACAGTATCATCAGCAAAAAGTAACTGTGTCAATCCCCATTTTGTATTTGATTCCCCATAACTTAAATCCCACCCCTTTCCTGAACACCCTAGCATTTACTTCTTTTACAATCCCATCTATAAATATATTAAACAACCATGGTGACATTACACATCCCTGTCTAAGACCTACTTTTACCAGGAAGTAATCTCCCTAGTTCTACACACTCTATTGTTATTATTATATATAATAAAAAACAAGTGCTAAACCAAATATTTTGTGAAGGGATTCAGGGAAACTGGTAGCTGGATTTGAATCCTGGAGGTGGGAAGTACAATGCCTGCACTTTAAAGGAGGGATCCAGGATATTGGCTGTTTGGAGCGACATCTAAACTGTCATATGTGGGCGTCTCTGCAAAGACAGTGATTACGTGTGAATGATGATGAAAGTGTTTCTTTTTTGGGTCAACTTGCCTCGGGTTATTATTATAATCAAAGAAAGTGCTTAACCAACAAGGGTCATGCAGTCCCTGCCTCGGAGGGAGATGGCAGTTGTGTTGAAAAAAATTTTTTTTTAGTAATAGATAGCAGAGATAACTAAGCATGAGTAGGAAACTTTTATATTTATACAATTATCACTTGTGGTGGGAGAACAAGTCAGGTTGTGACCATTGTTTCTCCTTCAACATTTGTAATCCAAATCATCCAGGTACACTGCAGAATATACTATACAGAGAGGTGTACTGTAAATCTGTGTACATAGCCAACACTGATCATAATTACCGTATTTTGTGGCTTAAAATTATTATAATAAAAAAGAAGTGCTAAGCCACAAGGGCTATACAGCTGTGGCTTATAAGACGCGGCTTGTAAGACTTAGTTTTAGTTTCAATGGCTCGGCATTGGACGTAACTGGGAGAGCTACAGCCCACCCCAAACTTACAGCTCCTATCACTGACTTTCAGTTTATAGGAGACATTTTATGGAAAAAAAAAATGCCTCTAATAAGCAGTGAAATACAATATTACATTCATGGGATCATGCAGCACCCAGTAATGGGAAGTAATCAGGTTTGATCTAGAGGAGGATGTTTTATTATTATAATCAAAAAGAAGTGCTAAGCCATAGAGGAGGATAAATATTAAACATATTCATATTCGTGGGGAAGCACTAAACTGGAAATGAAGAATGGGTGGCACTTTGGTTCAATTCAAGTTAGAGGACAGGCCAATTTCCTTGGATCAGAAGCACCTCGCCAGCTTCAAGGCACCTCTTTTAAGGGGCCAAAGAAGTGGTAAGTAGTTACACTATCTTTGATCAAGAGTTCTTCCCCAGCATCAAGGCATCCCTCCATTCCTTTAATGGGCCTTTAATCATAAGGAATAGTTTCCTTAAGCCACTTTAGGCCAACTGAGCCTTGGAGACAAAGCCTTACAAGTTGTTGCCAAGCTACTTTAAATGTTTTAACTCGTGGAAAGTAGTCATTTAATCCGGTCCCATGTTAGAAACCAATACAAACTACTGCCATAGATTTCTGACATGTAACAATAAATATAACATTAAGGGTGCAAATAAATAAATGCTAATTATTTTTAAGTGTTTTATTATAAATGCCAGTATCTTTCTGATACATCTCAGTGATTGGTGATATTACATACAGCTTACATCATTGTATAAACTGTTTATGACAGCCAACCACAGAACTTTTTTCCAGGTATTTTAGCTGTATATACACCAGAAGCTATTCATATGTACGTACAAGTGCATTAAATTGAAGCAAAAACAAGCAGCATTCTCAGGTACTTGTCATCAACATACAGTATTGTGCATTAATATACAGTATTTAGTCACTAATATAAGCAAATTTAAGGCTTTGTAAAATTACTATTATAGAATCCCATTCTGAAGGTCCTTCCCTATTTCTGTTTTAGATCTGTACTGTATTCAAATACCTGTACCTAATAATTTTTAATTTCATTGCACACTGCAAAAATACTGTTGTAACTTGATATCTTCTTACTAACACTGTATTACTATCTTAGAAAAAATAAATAACAGATGATTGTATATGTCATATTCAAAAATCAACATTTAATAGGAGGATATCAAATGATACAAAATTGGATATTTTTTAATGTTTCATTTTTTGCACACCATTAATGTCAGTTTCTACATTAACATCTTATTTTGCCAATGTTAACAATAATATTAAACCTCTTATGTCATACTTAAGTACTGTATTTTACTTTAGTTTCACAAAACATTTGAAACACTGTATACGCAATGGCTTCCACAAGAATTTAATGTAAAGGCTTTTGTTAGCTTATTAATGTTATTTTTAATTAATAAATATATTTTGGTTTAAAACTGCACTTTTTTTTTTTTTTCAACAAGTTGGCCGTCTCCCACCGAGGCAGGGTGACCCAAAAAAGAAAGAAAATCCCCAAAAAGAAAATACTTTCATCATCATTCAACACTTTCACCTCACTCACACATTATCACTGTTTTTGCAGAGGTGCTCAGAATACTACAGTTTAGAAGCATATACATATAAAGATACACAACATATCCCTCCAAACTGCCAATATCCCAAACCACTCCTTTAAAGTGCAGGCATTGTACTTCCCATTTCCAGGACTCAAGTCCGACTATATGAACATAACCGGTTTCCCTGAATCCCTTCACTAAATATTACCCTGCTCACACTCCAACAGATCGTCAGGTCCCAAGTATCATTCGCCTCCATTCACTCCTATCTAACATGCTCATGCACGCTTGCTGGAAGTCCAAGCCCCTCGCCCACAAAACTGCACTTACTTATCTGTAATTAACCCATTACAACCATACACCTGAATGATTTCTAATTTTTTGTACAGTATATACATTATTTGCCTTATACAGCAAGTACCAGTGTTATTACATTTGATGGACAACTGAAAATAAAATAAAAAAATCATACATGAAGAAACACTTGTATCATATTCCATAACTACCAATTATTCCTTGGACACCTAAACCAGAAAATACTTAAAGCAAATACTCAAACAAGTTTTCTAAAATTATGTAGGTATGAAAGAATCAATGGCTGGGTGTGCGAGTGCATCAGAGAGACTCCAGCCAAGTATGATGAAACGTTCAGTTGATGGCCAGGGTATCTGACTTAACCTCCAGTTACAGGTGAGAATGGATATTCAGTTGATAGCCAGTGCATCTGACTGGGCTTCCATGCTTAACTGGTTCTGCAAATCAGAGAGCTTTTTCTTCAGAGCTGCAATGCCCATGAGAATGATATTCTCAGGTTTGAGAGCTCCTGCACTCTCTACATTGTAATAGAACTTGTTAGGTTTGGCTGTTGGGTCAAACTCTGCCTGGGCTGAAAGGAAATAAACTGGTCACTAAAATAATAAGATAAATATAATACAGTACAGTACATACATACATTCAATGCATGCTTTTTTTTTACATTGGTCATTTCCCAAGAGAGGAGACCCAAAGAAGATAACACATTCACTGCTTCAGTAAGAAGTACACAGACATCAAAATTTAGTTTTTTAACACACTAACCATCTCCCACCGAGGTAGTGTGACCCGAAAAGAAGAAATGCTCTCATACTATCACTGTCTCGTCAGAGATGTGCCAATATTACAGCTCAGATGCCCCTGCAAACTGCAATATCTTTAACCCTTCTTTGAAGTGCAAGCACTGTATTTCTCATCACCTCCAGGACTCAGGTCAGATTAACCAATTTCCCTGAATTCCTTCATAACTGTTAACTTGCTCACACTCCAATAGCTCACTTTCAAATTTAAGTCCGGCTAACTTGTTTTCCTGAATCCCACCAAGCGTTTCCTTCCTTACATTCCAATAGCACATCAAATACCTCCACTGATTCTGATCTAACAAGCTCACACCTGACTGCTAAATGATGAAGCGTCTACCACTCAAAATTTCCTTCACACACTTCCCAACCGTCCCTGGTATATCAATACACTACTTTCCATCTATCCCATTTAAATTTACTCCTTTGGTCAGTGAATCTTACTTCATTTTTTATAAATGGACAAAATATCTGAGCAACTCCTCCACTCTGAATTACACTGCTCCTTCAATCTCAGCATAATATTCACACCACAGATTGATCTCAAAGAAGATATCAACGGATACTCCAGTCTTCTCCTCACTGCAACATTTAAAGACTATAACTCACACTCATTAAAAATGCATCACCACTATACAGGTACATTTCCCTTTTTACCACACTGAGAAGATGCTTATTTTACACAGATGCCTCAACATGCCACCTACCCTTTTCTCACTTGTCTATTCTATGATCCACCTCATCTTTCATACATAGAGCTGCCAACACATCTCTTCCCAATTACATACCTAAATACATTACACAGACAAATACTATATAAAAACACAGTACTTTAATCGATTAATAATCACCCAACTTTAAATGCTCAGGATAGTGATCTTTAAAGCTTATACTAAGCAATTTTACAAACTATTTAAAATATTACAGCATTATGGCAGTTTTCATTAGTTTTTAAGCATTAATGATATAAAACATAATTGGCCCTCAGCAAAAACACGAGTTAGGAAAATTATAGTAACAACTAGCGCAGCATCAACTATTAACTAATATAATCACACGTAAGTTTATATATAAATTAAGGAAAAAATAAACGAAGTCAATTATATTAAAATCTACATACTCATTATCATATGATTACTAATATCAATGTCTGTAGCTACAAGTAACACACAGATGCACAGCAACTCTTCAACAGCATCAGTGACACCAGCAACTCTTGCAACAGTACAGTATGCCACACAAACTATGTGCCTGAAACACAGATGCCACAGAACTGCTGTGCAACACACAGTGCACCACAACTGCTGTCCAACACACAGTCCACACAACTGCGTGCCAACAGCACAGATGCCACCAGCAACTGCTGTGCCAACAGCACAGTGCACCAGCAACTGCTGTGCCAACAGCACAGATGCCACCAGCAACTGCTGTGCCAACAGCACAGGTGCCACCAGCAACTGCTGTGCCAACAGCACAGTGCCACCAGCAACTGCTGTGCCAACAGCACAGTGCCACCAGCAACTGCTGTGCCAACAGCACAGATGCCACCAGCAACTGCTGTGCAACAGCACAGTGCCACGCAACTGCTGTGCCAACAGCACAGGTGCCACCAGCAACTGCTGTGCCAACAGCACAGATGCCACCAGCAACTGCTGTGCCAACAGCACAGATGCCACCAGCAACTGCTGTGCCAACAGCACAGATGCCACCAGCAACTGCTGTGCCAACAGCACAGTGCCACATGGCAACTGCTGTGCCAACAGCACAGGTGCCACCACACGCGCAACTGCTGTGCCAACAGCACAGGTGCCACCGCAACTGCTGTGCCAACAGCACAGGTGCCACCAGCAACTGCTGTGCCAACAGCACAGATGCCACCAGCAACTGCTGTGCCAACAGCACAGATGCCACCAGCAACTGCTGTGCCAACAGCACAGATGCCACCAGCAACTGCTGTGCCAACAGCACAGGTGCCACCAAACTGCTGTGCCAACAGCACAGGTGCCACCAGCAACTGCTGTGCCAACAGCACAGGTGCCACCAGCAACTGCTGTGCCAACAGCACCAGGTGCCACCAGCAACTGCTGTGCCAACAGCACAGGTGCCCACAGCAACTGCTGTGCCAACAGCACAGGTGCCACCAGCAACTGCTGTGCCAACAGCACAGGTGCCACCAGCAACTGCTGTGCCAACAGCACAGTGCCACCAGCAACTGCTGTGCCAACAGCACAGGTGCCACCAGCAACTGCTGTGCCAACAGCACAGGTGCCACCAGCAACTGCTGTGCCAACAGCACAGATGCCACCAGCAACTGCTGTGCCAACAGCACAGGATGCCACCAGCAACTGCTGTGCCAACAGCACAGGTGCCACCAGCAACTGCTGTGCCAACAGCACAGGTGCCACCAGCAACTGCTGTGCCAACAGCACAGTGCCACCAGCAACTGCTGTGCCAACAGCACAGATGCCACCAGCAACTGCTGTGCCAACAGCACAGATGCCACCAGCAACTGCTGTGCCAACAGCACAGGTGCCACCAGCAACTGCTGTGCCAACAGCACAGGTGCCACCAGCAACTGCTGTGCCAACAGCACAGGTGCCACCAGCAACTGCTGTGCCAACAGCACAGATGCCACCAGCAACTGCTGTGCCAACAGCACAGATGCCACCAGCAACTGCTGTGCCAACAGCACAGGTGCCACCAGCAACTGCTGTGCCAACAGCACAGGTGCCACCAGCAACTGCTGTGCCAACAGCACAGGTGCCACCAGCAACTGCTGTGCCAACAGCACAGGTGCCACCAGCAACTGCTGTGCCAAACAGCACAGGTGCCACCAGCAACTGCTGTGCCAACAGCACAGGTGCCACCAGCAACTGCTGTGCCAACAGCACAGGTGCCACCAGCACAGGTGCCACCAGCAACTGCTGTGCCAACAGCACAGGTGCCACCAGCAACTGCTGTGCCAACAGCACAGGTGCCACCAGCAACTGCTGTGCCAACAGCACAGGTGCCACCAGCAACTGCTGTGCCAACAGCACAGGTGCCACCAGCAACTGCTGTGCCAACAGCACAGGTGCCACCAGCAACTGCTGTGCCAACAGCACAGGTGCCACCAGCAACTGCTGTGCCAACAGCACAGGTGCCACCAGCAACTGCTGTGCCAACAGCACAGGTGCCACCAGCAACTGCTGTGCCAACAGCACAGGTGCCACCAGCAACTGCTGTGCCAACAGCACAGGTGCCACCAGCAACTGCTGTGCCAACAGCACAGGTGCCACCAGCAACTGCTGTGCCAACAGCACAGGTGCCACCAGCAACTGCTGTGCCAACAGCACAGGTGCCACCAGCAACTGCTGTGCCAACAGCACAGGTGCCACCAGCAACTGCTGTGCCAACAGCACAGGTGCCACCAGCAACTGCTGTGCCAACAGCACAGGTGCCACCAGCAACTGCTGTGCCAACAGCACAGGTGCCACCAGCAACTGCTGTGCCAACAGCACAGGTGCCACCAGCAACTGCTGTGCCAACAGCACAGGTGCCACCAGCAACTGCTGTGCCAACAGCACAGGTGCCACCAGCAACTGCTGTGCCAACAGCACAGGTGCCACCAGCAACTGCTGTGCCAACAGCACAGGTGCCACCAGCAACTGCTGTGCCAACAGCACAGGTGCCACCAGCAACTGCTGTGCCAACAGCACACGGTGCCACCAGCAACTGCTGTGCCAACAGCACAGGTGCCACCAGCAACTGCTGTGCCAACAGCACAGGTGCCACCAGCAACTGCTGTGCCAACAGCACAGGTGCCACCAGCAACTGCTGTCCCAACAGCACAGGTGCCACCAGCAGCTGCCATGACAATACCACCAAATCTGTCCATGTTCTGAGTACTTAAACATATCTAATATCATAAGAAGGTAGCAAACATAGTATTAGACAATGAAAAAAAATCATAATTTGCTATCAACAAATTGTAAACCATGAGTACTGATATGCACATTTATGCTGCTGTTGCCTCTGATTATTTTTTGCTAACTTCAAACCCCATGAAACCAAATTCCGTTTTGATTCCACTTTTCTTTTCATAGTTCTACTTAGAAAAATATATATATACCTTCAAACTACTTTTTTTTCCCAAAATTCCCCCCAATGGGAGGTAAAAATGCATGACCTCCTACAGTTAGAGGGACAATACTAGTGACAGCTTACAGGAGCTACTTCAGCAACCACCTGTCATACTATGGTTGCAGCAGTAGCTGGTGATGGTCACTGGAGGTGCTGCTGGTTGTTGACGATTAAAGTCTTTCTATTATTATTATTTTTTTTTATTATCACACTGGCCGATTCCCACCAAGGCAGGGTGGCCCGAAAAAGAAAAACTTTCACCATCATTCACTCCATCACTGTCTTGCCAGAAGGGTGCTTTACATTACAGTTTTTAAACTGCAACATTAACACCCCTCCTTCAGAGTGCAGGCACTGTACTTCCCATCTCCAGGACTCAAGTCCAGCCTGCCGGTTTCCCTGAACCCCTTCATAAATGTTACTTTGCTCACACTCCAACAGCACGTCAAGTATTAAAAACCATTTGTCTCCATTCACTCCTATCAAACACGCTCACGCATGCCTGCTGGAAGTCCAAGCCCCTCGCACACAAAACCTCCTTTACCCCCTCCCTCCAACCTTTCCTAGGCCGATCCCTACCCCGCCTTCCTTCCACTACAGACTGATACACTCTTGAAGTCACTCTGTTTCGCTCCATTCTCTCTACATGTCCGAACCACCTCAACAACCCTTCCTCAGCCCTCTGGACAACAGTTTTGGTAATCCCGCACCTCCTCCTAACTTCCAAACTACGAATTCTCTGCATTATATTCACACCACACATTGCCCTCAGACATGACATCTCCACTGCCTCCAGCCTTCTCCTCGCTGCAACATTCATCACCCATGCTTCACACCCATATAAGAGCGTTGGTAAAACTATGCTCTCATACATTCCCCTCTTTGCATCCAAGGACAAAGTTCTTTGTCTCCACAGACTCCTAAGTGCACCACTCACCCTTTTCCCCTCATCAATTCTATGATTCACCTCATCTTTCATAGACCCATCCGCTGACACGTCCACTCCCAAATATCTGAATACATTCACCTCCTCCATACTCTCCCTCCAATCTGATATCCAATCTTTCATCACCTAATCTTTTTGTTATCCTCATAACCTTACTCTTTCCTGTATTCACTTTTAATTTTCTTCTTTTGCACACCCTACCAAATTCATCCACCAATCTGTGCAACTTCTCTTCAGAATCTCCCAAGAGCACAGTGTCATCAGCAAAGAGCAACTGTGACAACTCCCACTTTATGTGTGATTCTTTATCTTTTAACTCCATGCCTTTTGCCAAGACCCTCGCATTTACTTCTCTTACAACCCCATCTATAAATATATTAAACAACCATGGTGACATCACACATCCTTGTCTAAGGCCTACTTTTACTGGGAAATAATTTCCCTCTTTCCTACATACTCTAACTTGAGCCTCACTATCCTCGTAAAAACTCTTCACTGCTTTCAGTAACCTACCTCCTACACCATACACCTGCAACATCTGCCACATTGCCCCCCTATCCACCCTGTCATACGCCTTTTCCAAATCCATAAATGCCACAAAGACCTCTTTAGCCTTATCTAAATACTGTTCACTTATATGTTTCACTGTAAACACCTGGTCCACACACCCCCTACCTTTCCTAAAGCCTCCTTGTTCATCTGCTATCCTATTCTCTGTCTTACTCTTAATTCTTTCAATAATAACTCTACCATACACTTTACCAGGTATACTCAACAAACTTATCCCCCTATAATTTTTGCACTCTCTTTTGTCCCCTTTGCCTTTATACAAAGGAACTATGCATGCTCTCTGCCAATCCCTAGGTACCTTACCCTCTTCCATACATTTATTAAATAATTGCACCAACCACTCCAAAACTATATCCCCACCTGCTTTTAACATTTCTATCTTTATCCCATCAATCCCGGCTGCCTTACCCATTGCCCCTTAATAATTAAGTTCCTCCCTCCTGCATGTCATTTTCCAACAAAGCTTAGGGTGACCCAGAACAGATATACACCATCACTCTCTGCCTAATTAATTTTTATTAAAGCAATTAGGCCTAGTTTCCAGTTACCCAAACAAAAAATAAACAAAAAACTAAAAAAAAAAAAAAAAAAAAAAATAAGAAAAATGGCTAGCCATTGTATCCTATCTTTTCTATAACAAAAGTACGTACAGTACTTTCAAGTAAAATTCCACAAATACATAATGCAATCAATTCTTTTTTTTTAGATGTAGATGTAGCAGCTGTGTGAGGGGTGTCAATGAGATACAAACCATCCACACATATCCAAGTCATCAACTTAAGGAGCCAACTATCACTGATATATGTTTATTCTTCACTGAAGTATTTTTTTTTTTTTTGGCAACTAAGATACATTTGTAATAAAGTTGGCAGAATTACCGACAATATGTAAAGTAAGAGGACACAAGTGCAACTAATGTGACATTTTTATTGTGGCAATGTTTCGCTTGACAAAGCTCCTGGAGAGTGAAACGTTGCTATAATAAAAATGTCACATTAGTTTGCGCTGGTGTCCTTTTACTTTACATAAGATACATTTATCAGATTCATGCCTTGTTTACAGGTCGTACAATTCACAAAATCATACCATGGTTTGTTATGTCATAGATTCCTCTATGATGCCTCTCAAAAATGTGGTACTGATATTAAAAGAATACAGTATTTTTTAAGAAAAGAATTTCTGATTATATAATGAACTTTTTTACTAAGAATACTTCCCTGCAGAACAATCCTGTCATTAAGTGGGGATTACTACACATAATTTTCTCCAATTTTTTATAACCTTGGGTAATTTTTGTCAGCAGTTATAATTTAAGGATATAGTATTTTGGGGTGATTTCTGTTAGGAAAAATAGTCGACTAGTAGTGAGAATAGACTCCTCTGGTGACAGACTTGCACCTTACTAAATTCAAGACAATCATTAAGAAATCTGACTAGGGCACACCAAGGCAAAATTTGGAAAACTGAACATCAGATACAAGAACCTTCACTATTCATTAAATAAAAACAACACTGCAATATTGGAGCATTTAAGTCTTACATTGTAGTAGTGTTAGGAAACAAAATCCATAATATTAAAACTAACAGTCAACAATGTTAGATCATGAAAACCATCAGCAAAATATGTCATGCCAAGTGAAAAAAAAAAAAAAAAGTTATTAGTATGATAAACCACTGACATTTCCAGTTCCAGGGGGCTGTTTGCTTGTCTTAGAGCCTAGCAAGTTTTGAGTCATACCATGCATGATAGCAAGCTTCAACATCAGGAGTTGGAACAGGGTTGGGATCCAAACCCACAGCACCAACATTTGTTCCAGTCAACCTAATATTGAGAAGGAAAATCAAAAGGGAGAAAAGAGGGAAGATGCACAGAGCTTCAAATCTGCAGTGTATATCTTGTCAATTTTAATTATTTTTAATCTCTTGTGAAATGGCATAAAAAGCATTCTATTTCTCTGTAAATTTAGAAGCTCTCATGAATCTTCAGTACCTGCTGGGATTTTTCTCCACTATCAGAGTTTGCTATATTCTTCCATTTTTTTAGGGTTAAGGTGGGTGGGGAGAGGGAAGCAGATAGAAGGAAAGAAAGAAGGAGGTATGATCAAAGAGGGAGGGAGGGAGGCAGGAGTAAAGCAGTGGTGAAGTCCCTTACTCAACTAGGGCTTTATTTTAATGACCCCTAGTTTGATGCCATTTTTCTAGTACTGAGTTCAATGATAATTTTATACGTTTATGCAATGTTGGCTCTGAAAACTGACCTTTCATTTATCCTCTCAATAGGTACTTCCTTCTGCCAATTTATAAAGCTATCAGAAGCTCTGCATGCAATATTAATTCTTAATATCTCAATAAAAAATAGGCCTGAGTAAATAAGGGCACTAACCAAATATTTTGCATATGCATATTATCATCAATAATTATCACTCATTCTGGAAATTCAAACTAAAACCTTATTTGCACTCAGTTGATGGCCAGTGCATCTGTCTGAGCCTCCATGGTGAGCTGGTTCTGGATATCTGACAGCTTCTTTTTTAGGATGGCTATACCCATTAGCACAACGTTTTCAGGTTTGAGGGCCCCAGAGGCCTCAACGTTGAAGAAAAACTTGTTTGGTTTTCCAGTAGGATCAAAAGGAGCCTGAGCTGCATGAGAGTATGGAAGGAACTGTGAAAGATTCAAGAGCTCACAGACTAGTTGAAGCCTAAGAACGCTGCTAAGATCAAAGAAAGTCAAGTCTGGGGACAAGTTTGTATTTTTTAACTATTGACCATTAAACCATGATCATCAGTGTTTTTGACAGGATTGTTCAACTGGATGTGCAGTTAAATAACAATTAAATAAAAAATATATATATTGTATTCATACTAGTATAAGAATAAAAACTTTTTAAACATTAGAATTTTCATGAAACCCTTCTACAAATCCCCACTCTAAAATTAAGTCACTAAATAAATAGCCATGTTACATACGTGTATTTTCATCTAGAGTTGAGTATTCACTCTTGGGCCACTCTTCTGGTTTTGGGAGAAGTGTGTGCCTCTGAGCATTGTCTGGGTCATACTCAAAAGCTACACTGCATGTGGGGTTCCACTTGGCATGCTCCTTGCCAAATCCTTTAACGGCATATGCTCGGAGTCTCAATGACTGACCCTTGCGAAGTTTAACTATAAGGATATCTGAAAAAAAATTCAGGCCAATAGCATGAACATCCAACAACTTTTTAAATTTCATGCCATTTTCACATGAGATACACAGTAAGAATTGTAAACATATTACATACAGATAAAATGATATCTCTCACCATGAACTACTGCTTTAGAAATAAAATATGAAATACTAGTTTAACTTAAACTAGTATTTTATAGGATTACTTTTCCTCTTAATGCACTCTTTTAAGTCTCCTAGGCACAACTAACTCATAGAGGATGGAAAAGTCAAGCTCTAGGGTGATCTTCCATCTCTAGATGGCTCTGGTTTCTTTTGCTTACAGCTCTCAAAGATGGCTGTATTACCTATGGCTGGTCTTGTGCAATCAGAATAGATATATAACGAATTTGGGGCATACAATGCCCCCACTGAGCACTGCTGTTCTCTCACATCTACTTATTGGCACTTAATAGAATAAGTGATAAAATATAGGAATACTGATCAAACTTCAATTTTCAACCTACTGAATTAGCCGTGTCAAATTTTTTCTGAATCACTGTATTATTATTATTATTATTATTACAATCATAACTAAGCACTAAACTCACAAGGGTCACACAGCACTGTCTGAATCACTATAGAAAGTTTGTATGTGAGGTCACAAGTTGAGTATCCTCTATACTAGCATTCAAACATGTGCCTACAACATGCCAGTGAGCCAGTAATGATTTACCTCTCAAGAGTTACAACATAACACTGTTTATTTGAAGGATTTTGAGGTGCCAGATACCTGCCATTTTTAATCACCTGACATATTAGCACACTCAGGCAGGATAAAACAATCCTTCATTGCCCTAAATCCAGGTGTACTTTTCTCTTGCTTGCTGATGTAAACTCTAGATGGCAACTTGTTCCAAAATGTGCCTTACAAGACAGTAATATTTTGTGATGGGATTCAGAGAAACCAGTTAGCTGGACTTGAGTCCTGGAAATGAGAAGTACAATGCCTGCACTTTAAAGGAGGGTGTGGGATATTGGCAGTTTGGAGGGATATCTAAACTGTATATCTGAGCACCTCTGCAAAGACAGTGATTATGAGTGATGGTATAACCTGGAGAATTTACCTGGAGAAAGTTTCAGGGGTCAATGCCCCCACTGCCCGGTCTGAGACCAGGCCTTATGGTGGATCAAGGTCTGATCAACCAGGCTGTTACTGCTGGTTGAATGGTGATTTTTTTTTTTTCTTTCTTTTTGGGTTTTTCTTTCTTTATGGGTCACCCTGCCTTGGTGGGAAACAGCTGACATGGTAAAAAAAAAAAACTAAGAATATTTAAAATCATTTATAAATAGGGCTTTGGCCCATGACCATGTTGTAAACAACATCTGGTACTTTATATGTAATTATTCAACCCTATACCAAAATCTATGTCCAAATACACACTCACCATCAGATTCTCCATATTCACTGGCTTCGTCTTCACGGTGACGTGAGGTGACTGGTATAACTCTAGCATCCGAGGACTTAAGATCTGCAGTGGTGATCTGTCGTGTGTGGTCATCCTGACATTTTACATCCAGTGTAAACTCCACCGAACATTCTGGGCAGTAGTCGGTGCATGAGCAGTCCTACAACAATTTGACAGACTCCTAAATATACAACATTCTTTCCAAGTTGCACTTCACTAAGCATATTAAGTTATGCTTTTCAATGTAAAATTTACCTTTACTCTCAAAGCTACTTTTGTCTGACATTATTTACACACACCTAGAAGCAGGTGAATTATGAAACCCATAAACTGCGCAGTTACTTTTTTTATGAATCAATATATATAAGCAAACAATAATTGTGGCTCAAAGCTGTTAAATTGTAAATATTAATTATTTTTTAATTAAAATTAGGAAAATTATGAAATAGCAGTGCAGTTACATCAGAATACACTTAACTAAACAAACACTTTCAGAGAACAGTATAGAGCTCACAAACCCTTGAGTACTGCATCTGTTCAATACGTTCATCAGACGTGAAAGGAATGAGACCAATGCGATGCGCAATGAACTCATCACTCAGGACAGTAGAATTCTCCTCAAGTTGTATCCAATCAATTGCAATGGTGGGGGTTTCCGCCATAAAGATTCGACGAATACTGTTAGCCACGCTGCAATCACAACATATTTAAACCAATTTTATGCTAAAAATATTACATTATGCTTTGCCAGAAATAGAAAAAATACTGTATTACACATGTGAGCTACATATAGTACAAACATACACAGCAGTAAATATTTGTTGGAAAAAATGAAGATACTATGAAGGGAGATTACAGTGTCATTTCATTCGTCAATGATTTCAGTGTGTGCCAGGAAGCAGAAAAATTTCACCTAACACTAAACAGGTGCCTGATAAGAAATAAGCCAAGCTGATTTGCTTTCTTAGATTATCCTGGGTTACTAATCCTCTGGGGTTAACAATGGGACCAGGAGGATGTGTGTACTGGTTCCGCAGTCACGATGAACAATTGGTTAAAAGCTACTGACGTGGCAGTAGAGTAGCGACCAGTTTATAGAGAATATATTTACTTTATACCTTTTATTTAAACTTTACATACACAGAATTTTTTCTATGGTATTTAGGGAATGTTACTGGCACACAGAAGTGCCTTATGTATATTTAACCATGCTGTCATCAACAAAAATTTAAATAGTCAAAATAAGCAGCTTATAAGATGTAGCTTATAAGATTTGTTTTAGTTTCAATGGCTCCCGTCACTGACCTTCAGTTTATAGAATACAGGGAGGTTTTTGAAGACAGTTTATGGAAAAAATGCATCTAATAAACTGCGAAATATGCTAAATTACCTGTAATATTATTAGTAAGTAAGTAAGTTTATTCAGGTATACCTGATCACAGACCGGGCCGCGGGGGCATTGACCCCCGGAACTCTCTCCAGGTCTCCAGGTATACACAAATACAGTTACATAGAATTATCATACATAGCAGAATACATGTAGAGAACCTGGGATAACCCAAAAAAGTCAGACAGTGACTTATTTCCATTGGGGTCCTTTTACCTTATTATTATAATATAAAGGTTATAATATTTTCTTATTATTCTATAATGAAGATAACATCTTATTATCATACTAAAAAGACTATCTACTACACGAGGGTCATTAAGACTATCTACAATACGAGAGTCATTACTAGGAATAAGGTAAAATTTACACATATGTTAGCTAAAAAATAGGAAATCATTCCCCTCAAAAGTAAACGCTCAACCCACAAGGGTCATACAGCAGCCTCAGTAATATCTTAACCATGAAAAACACATATTGCTGTGAAAAAAATAATTGGAAATGGTATTATTAATTAAATATTCAGAGAGAAGGGCAAAAATTGTACGGGTTATACATATTGGGAGGTAATGAGGTTTGATCCAAGGAGAGGGAAGCTCCGATTCCTTGGATCTGAGCTTGTCACAAGCATCAAGGCACCACACACCTTAGGTCTGTGTCTTCTATAAAAAATTTAATGTTCTCCTCTGAGAGTTCCATGAGGTTGAGGGAAGGTTGGTTGGCGTATGGCATCACTAATGTCTTCTTGATGACACTTCACGATGAATTATGTGTCAGGTGAACACTACACAACCTGTGTCTTCTTCAGGACACTTGTAGTATGTCTCGCACCTCCAGGAAATGTACAGTTTGCTTATTAACAAGTGACAAAATTTTGTGCGCTGAACCGAGATGTTTCTGGGGGGCTGTTGTTTACCAGGTTTTAAGGGCCACTTAAACTTATCCCTTATTTAGCATTCCTTATTTAAGAGATAAGATTTTGTTCGGATTTTTAACTCCGGAGGGTTAGCCACCCAAGAAAGGCAGTGTGTCATCGAGAAACTCTGTCTTATTTTCATTGGGGTCCTCAATCTTGTCCCCCAGGATGTGACCCACACCAATCGACTAACACCCAGGTACCTACTTACTAGGTGAACAGGATAATAGGTGTAAAGAAATGTGTCGAAATGTTTTCACCTCACCGGGAATCGAACCCGGACACTCAGCATGAGAAGCGAGAGCTTTGCCAGCCAGGCCACGGGGCCTGGCTGGCCGATTCCCACCAAGGCAGGGTGGCCCAAAAAACAGAAAAACTTTCATCATCATTCACTCCATCATTGTCTTGCTAGAGGTGTGCTCACACTATAGTTATAAAACTACAACACTAACACCTCTCCTTCAGAGTGTAGACACTATACTTTCCATCTCTAGGACTCGAGTCCGGCTAACCAGTTTATTATGCACTAAACCCACAGGGGCATACAGCCTGTCTTCCTTAAGGAACTTTATTTAGACACAGGTACACAAGTACAGTTACACAAATTTGGGTGACTACAATTATCATATATAGTAACGTGTGTAAATTACTCACGATAACCGAGAAAGTCAGATGAAGTGACTTATTTTGAAGTTATTTCCACTGGGATCCTTCCCGGGAGTCCAACAATGATATATCAAACAAATATTGGAGGGAATTATAAAGGAAACAAAAGTTTCCTCCAGAGAGATAGAGGAGTTAGAGAGATGTGGGTGGCCTTACTGTTATGTACAAGGCCAGTAATTGTTAAAGTACCACACTTGGCTCCACTTCCAGGACAGCGTGAAACAAGCTTGTACACCACAAGACGGGCAGCCAGCAGCAACTTCACTCTGGCTGTACCCTTCTCCAGAACATCACTATATCTGAGATCATTTATCCCCAGGATGACTCGAGTATGGAACACGTTCGTACAGCATAATGATGTCAACGAGATAAAGTCAGTTGATCAAATGTTAATGCTGGCCCAGAGATGGCTCACAGCTGGCCCAGAGATGGCTCACAGCTGGCCCACAAATGGCTCCAACTTCATCCTGTTCCCTACTTGTATGTCTCATAACAATAAAAATGCTTTCAAATGAGCTGATGTAGGTAACAACTCTTAGCTTGTCAATAAAGCTAGGGATCCTTAACCTAACCTTGTCAAACCCTATGTAAAAGAGAGAGAGAGAGAGAGAGAGAGAGAGAGAGAGAGAGAGAGAGAGAGAGAGAGAGAGAGAGAGAGAGAGAGAGAGAGAGAGAAGAAAAAGCAGTTTTCAAATTAGTCAGGTGAACCCTGGCCTAAAACCCGGCAGTTAGACACCAATACACATTAGACTAAGTCATCCTACCTATTTGGGATTATCCTAGGTAATTTACCCTTATGCTGTTATGTAAGACAATAATAGTTATCCAGAATAGTGTATAATTTTACCTAAATGAACCTATTTGTAGGCATATGAGTCAATAGCAACAGGCTGTCTTCAAACCTACGAGTTAGATAAGAGAGAGATAAGAGTTGATATATGATGCCTTGACCAGTTGTCAGTAATAATATCTATTTCTACATGTATCAGTCGACTAACACCCAAGTACCTATTATTACCGAAAGGTGAACATAGACAACCGGTGTAAAGAAACACCCCCCAATGTTTCTACCCTCGCCAGGAATCGAACCCGGAACTCACTGTGCAAAGCAAGAGCTTTTGCTTCAATGCCACGGGTAGCATTAGAAGGGTCATACAGAGCCTGGGAAAGGGATAGGTCCAGGTCCTAGGATCAAGATTATTATGGAGGAGGGCTAAACCCATAGGGAATATAGAGTGCCTGTGTGGGGGAGGTGGATTATTATTATTATAATCAAGGGAAGCGCTAAACCCGGAGGATTATACAGCGCCTGGGGGGGATGTGGAAGGCATTCAGGCTTAATTCGGGGAACTGGAGCACAGATCCAATTCCCTAAATCAAGAGCCCCTCACCAACATCCAGGAACCTTCCTTGAGGGGTGGGGGAGGTGGAGGCAAGGTATTCAGGCTCAATTCAGGGAACTGGAGCACAGATCCAATTCCTTAGCTCAAGAGCCTCTCACCAGCATCAAGGAACCTCCCTTAAGGGGGCCTGGGATCAAGAGTCATTTGCATCCAGGTACCGGGGGGGATAAAGCTCCTGGGTCTCTAGATGATGCTTAGTTCCTTCATGTAGACATATGAGGATTGAATTATACCATCCAACTCAAGAAATTTTTTATTACACGGTTTAAAGTTACAAATGGTGATTAATACTGACAAGTATACAAGAAAAACATTTTGGGTAATAACACATTTTATTCAAGAAATGGTTTGCTATCCAGTGGGTTTTTTGAATCCAATTAGTAAGCCTATCAATTACACTGGGGTCATTAAAGATACATGTATATGTAACCTGTTTACTATCAGTCAAGATTACTCCAATACATGGAACACGGATTAAAGACCACACAAACACAACATAGAATCCAAACATTGCTCTCCATGGGTCCTGAGAGAGAGAGAGAGAGAGAGAGAGGGGGGAGGGGGAGAGGGAGAGAGAGAGAGAGAGAGAGAAGAGAGAGAGAGAGAGAGAGAGAGAGAGAGGGGGGGGGGGGAGGAGAGAGAGAGAGAGAGAGAGGGGGAGGGGGGAGGGAGAGAGAGAGAGGGGGAGGGAGAGAGAGAGAGAGAGAGAGAGGGGGAGGGAGAGAGAGAGAGAGAGAGGGGGAGGGAGAGAGAGAGAGAGAGGGGAGGGAGAGAGAGAGAGTCATTAACCACAATCCTCGAGTCAATGATCACAGAAACTGCCAGAATTGTGAAAGACAGAAGAATAAAGAAAATTCCAAATTACAGCGATGTCTACTCAGAATCATACTTTTATGCCTTGTCTACATACTAGTCACTATTAATGAGCAAAACAGAGTAAATGAGAAAAAATGGCAAGGGACTGTAGCATAAAAACACACTATACAACATTTCATGGCTGACCCCAGGACACTGCATACACATTATAAAAAATATTATACCTTGGTGCGATGCAATTTGAAAATGAACACAGTTCTCAAAATTTCCTAAAACTCAAATGATGCCTCAGATCATGTACAACACTTGTTTAAAAACAGGAGGAAATAAGAATATTTTTAGCATAACATAACTGGTGTAAATAATGCCAGTTGTAGACCTTCCGCTTGGATTTTGACCAGCATATGTTACGTAATAATAGTCTCCCATACTACTTCCATCCCAGATGAAACATAACCTACATCAAAACTGTTGGGAGATTACATGCAGATCTGCATAGTTATTCAGTCAAACATAACTGTTAACACGTGGTACAGCTTCTGTCATTCATGGAAACATGTATTAATCTGTAAGTCTGAAGATCATAGGCCACTTTCTACCCTCAATGATGATTAAATGTTTTACATATGTATATATTTGGAAAAGGACAACTACAGTGGGAGTTAAGTTTTTCTGTGTGTAAAATACTTTTGATTTTATGTACTGTACTTAGTTTGGAGGAGTGCTATAAATATAATTTTCAGTTTTATGAACAATTTCCATCCAGACTAAAGAATTAATATGGATACACAAATTAAGATCTCAGACATACTAGATACAACACTCTCAAGTTTTATACCCAATTCTTCCGAGAGACACTTTTATTCTCAGGCACTTTTCAGTCATTTGAATGGGTTGACCCTGAAACTGCCATGGGTTATCCTTGGCAATTTCCAAAGAGGTTGAGCATGACTGTCTTCAGCTTAGTTCTTCCCTGACTGCGCGATATCGTGTCATCTCATTTGGAAACACATGAGACAGTTCAACTAACAGCATTGCCTTGAACCTCTTATATGAATCAATTCTCCCATTAACCTGAAATGGAGATGAAATACCTAATTAGAAAATGCTACATACATCAGCACTTTCAGGACTACAATGAATTCTATAAGAGAAATGCTAAAGTTATTAGACCTTTTTCTTTACAACAACCTACAATACCTCTAGGTTATTATATTCATAGAAAGTGATGAGCCAGTAGGGGTCATACAGCACCTGGGAATGGTAGCCAATTAGGCTGGATCCAAAGAAGGGGAGGGTAGCTTAAATCTTATTATTAAAGGTTAGAGTCCAAGAGTGGCAATTCAGACAAAAAGTCCATTTAATAACTCATTAATTAATTAGTCCAGGTAATTAAGGATGTCAGTTAAATTGTAAACTAACCCATTTCATTATCTATAATTCTATTTAAAGAAATGCATACATCAGAGATATTTATTTTGTAGGATAAAAATACTGTATAGCTGGAAACATAAACACATATGCAGTTTAATGTGAACCTTTATTGACAACGTTTCGCCCACACAGTGGGCTTTTTCAAGTCACAAACAGATCTACCTGGGGTGGAAGGTACATGAGTATTTATAGTCAGGTTCAGAATGTTGAGGTCAGGTGGAGAATGCTGCATCTGATGATCTACTGGGTGGGGTTATAGAGTCTAAAATCTTGGGTAGCTTGGAAGGGGTATTGGACAAGTTGTGAGCAGACCTTCTGCAGTGTTCTATGTCCTTATGTGGGATAGCGATGAAGAAGTTTCTTGGCAAGTGGTTCAGCTATGTTATAGAAGCCATTGTTCTGGTTGAAATTGTTGGTTATAGAGATAAGCTAAATTTGAACATTCTGAACATGACTATAAATACTCACATACCTTCCACCCCAGGTAGATCTGTTTGTGACTTGAAAAAGCCCACTGTGTGGGCGAAACATTGTCAATAAACAATCACATTAAACTGCATATGTGTTTATGTTTCCATTGTGTCGGTATTTTATACCATTTATTTTCATACTGTATAGCTAACAAAAATATGTTAGCAAATTATAAAGTACAGTACTGTAATACTTGAAGCTCTGTTGATTTTTACACTTGAAATGCTATGAAGGTGAAAGTACAAATCAAAATACTTCTAGAAATATATGTATGCTAGTCCTAAATTATAGTACGTGTACTGAAAAAAAAAAAAAATTATTATGTATATTCATTGTTTCATTTTTTTTGTTATGAACAAGACTGCCTCACCTGTTCATTCTTTGTAAGAGCTTTCTCCATGCAATCCTTAGTATATAACTGAGGGTTTCTCCCTCCATCTATGTACCTGGAAAAATAAAATTGATTGATTTTGTTTGGTAATTCTGAGAATCTTTCTTTAACCAACCAAGATAGGGTGACCCAAAATAAATATATTCACTAGCATTCACTCAAAATTTAAATTATCAAATTTTTAAAAATACTTATATGAAGCACTAAGTCTGTGTGGGTCCTTTTTAAAACAAGTTCTCAAAGTAGCAAATCATTCTAGACTTGCTTTTAACGTTGTAATAATGTTGGTAGAATTACCGACAATATGTAAAGTAAAAGGACACAAGTGCAACTAATGTGACATATTATTGTGGCAACGTTTCGTTCTCCAGGAGCTTTGTCAAGCCAGCTTAACAAAGTTCTTGGAGAGCGAAACATTGCCACAATAATATGTCACATTAGTTGCACTTGTGTTGCTTTTAATGTTGTACAGTAAACCCTCAATATAATGGACCTTGATCAAACAACAGTGAATTGTACTTTTATCTCCTTTATTTCCAAAGTTTATTGGAATGTAACAGTATGGTGCTTTTCTGTTTTTTTACATTACTCTGATTTAATAGATACTTGGATACCCCTCATTTCGTGAGTCATACCCTTCATATTACTCCGTTATATCAATCCTTTACGAATCAAATACGAGAAATACCAAGAAAATACTCAAAAGTACTATTGCAGTACTAAATAAGCAAGCATGCTTGAATAGCAAAACTATCAACCAATATTACAAGATAATGCATGCAATATAAATTGGATATCTAAAGCAAAAAATTGCAAAGACTTACTCAAAAACTTCCAGAGGAACATGTACATCTTGGACAGCAGAGCGAAGTTTGTCAATGTCTTGCATATTTGTTATCATGTTCTGTCTGAACAAAAGAGATAAAAGAATATATAAATTTACTGGTTAACATGATATACAAAGTTAATTAAATAAAAAACAAATTATTATAATCATGAATAAGTGATAAATCCACTGGGGTCATTCCTCACATCAAGCAGCCTTTACCAGTAACAAGGCCTGCCTGATAATTCTGTGTGTTTGTGTATGGATGGTGACCTGTGCACCCGTGTATAACTAGTTACCTGTGCACCTGAGTATGGTTATGACCTATGCACATGTATATGGCTGGTGACCTGTGCACATGTGTATAGCTAGTGACCTGTGCACCTGAGTATGGTTGTGACCTATGCACATGTATATGGCTGGTGACCTGTGCATATGTGTATGGTTGGTGACCTGTGTATGGCTGGTGACCTGTGCACCTGTGTATGGCTGGTGATCTGTGCACATGTGTATGACTGGTGAACAAGAGTTCCCTTTGTGAATAGAAACAGGAACACAAAGTTCCCAATTAAGTCAGGTGGGCCTTCTTGCCTAAACTGCAGTAGAGCAGGATACCTTCACCCTCACCTGAGTTCACTAATTAGCTTCCCACAAAAATCATGAAATATCTTCAGTGGAAAAAATGGAGCTGATGAATGGTGCCAGTCTTATGATGTAGCAAGAAAGCAAAATAATTTAAGGACAAGTTTCCCACGGGGTGGTTCACGGCCTGGGAGGCAAAGCTCTCGCTTCGCACGGTGAGAGTCTGGGTTCAATTCCTGGTGAGGGTGGAAACCTTGGGCGTGTTTCCTTACGCGGTTGTCTATGTTCACCCATCAGTAAAACAGGTACCTGGGTATTAGTCAACGGGTGTGGGTCGCATCCTGGGACAAAACTGACCTAATTTGCTCGAAATGCTCTGTATAACAAGCAGCTCTCTACATAGCAGTATGTCATTGATGTCAGCTATGGTCTGTATACCTTGTACATGTACTTGTAGAAACAAAATTATATAATTATTTTTATTATTGTAGAGTACGAAGGAAATTTATGACTGATGCTCAGTAATGAGGAAGATGTTAACACAACAAAGATTGTAAAAAGTTCAACATAACTTAACCTTACTCCCCCACTGGTCTTTATTTCCACCCACTGCATCTTTGTTTTAAGTTTGTTATGTCTTTCTTATGGTCTCTGCAACTGGCCAGGCTTCATTAGTAAATTTATTTAAGTACAACTACATGCAAGTACAGTTACACAAGTTTTAGGTGATTACAATTTTCTTACATAGTAACATATGTGTAAATTACCTAAGTTAACCCAAAAAAGTCAGTAAATGTAACTTGCTTCCATTGATTGGCTCCGACGTGCCGTTCCTGCCAAAAAATGTATTATTTTCATTATGTCCCAAAACAGCAATTTGCCCAATGTAAGTAAGTTTATTTGTGCACTAATACACACAAGTACAATTATCATATATAATGTAAATTACCTAGAACTCAAATAAAAATTTAAAGTGAAATATTTCCATTGGGGTCCTTGAATGACTGTTTTTTTCAGTGATATAGATAACTTATGGGTATCAAAATATAAAATGATGTTTAACAGGAGGAATATCTTTCAGTTAAAACAGATTATACTGTACTGTTATTATAATCGCGGGGGAGCGCTAAACCCGTAGGGACTATACAGCGCCTATGTGTGTGTGAGATGGAAGGTATTCAGGCTTCAGGGAACTGGAGCACAGATCCAATCCCCTAGATCAAGAGCCCGTCACCAACGTGAAGGAAGGTCCCTGTAAGGGGGGTGTTAAATATCATAATAATAATAATGGTGGTATAACAGTACATAAGTCAGAATATTAAGACCAAGTTGAGGTTACTTACAACTTCTGGTTAAGAACTTGTTGTCCCTGGGGCTGGAAGTCACTAACCAGGATTCCAATTTGACGAACATTTTCAATAAATGTCTCAAGTTGGTTCTCCAACTGTTCTAGAGATGATGACATGATTGTTGCAGCTGCTGCTGTTGTTACTGTCTGTTACTGTTGTTACTGTTGCTGCTGTTGTTGGGTTGTTAAGGGAACACGTATGTTCCCTTCTCTGCGAATAATGTGCTTATTTATCCACTATAATCTAACCTTGTCCATAATTACTATTGTGGAAAATTGCATTTATCTGAATGTAACTAATTATGTACATAACAGTAAATGATAACAAAGATAATTATTATTTATCAATATTACATAGACAAGTAGGAATTTGGGACACCTAGGTCGCAAAAAATGTCCCCCTTCGATACCTACCACTGTCATAACCACAAGTTGCTCTGGACCTATTAATTAAATGAAATATACATACACCAGGAATACTGGTAAATATATAAATTTATGGACTGTATATTAAAAATAATAAATGGTTATATATATACACAATTACATAACAAAAGGAAGATATATCTTAATATCACTCACCAATTTGACTGGAGATTAATGTGTATCATACTCAGAAAACCTCACTCTAACTAAATCTATGAAAATAATGCTGGCCAGAATTACACACAAATCTAGAGAGCTTATCTGATGGTTCCTGGAGCTGTCTTGTCCAGTCGTCTGATATCTCAAGTTATGCAGTAATGCACATCCACCAATTTCGTCTCCTATTTGAGAGGTGTCAGCACAATTTTAACCTCTAGAGCACGAAAAATTCTTCCCATTACACCAACGTTTGTACAAAATTCAAAACCAAGATGGCGAGTCTCTATTTTTTTCGATAACATACCTCTTTTAAAAATACAATATAGGGCATCTATTTACCTATAAATTACCGTATTTCCGGAAAATATATACAGTATTTTCCACAACCATCACATTAACTTTGTTTGGTAAGGTAAAGTCTGGGATCTTTCCTTAAGCCCTGGCTCTATTTCTACAACTTGGAACATATTAAGCCCTGGCTCTATTTCTACAACTAGGAACATATTAAGCCCTGGCTCTATTTCTACAACTAGGAACATATTAAGCCCTGGCTCTATTTCTACAACTTGGAACATATTAAGCCCAGGCTCTATTTCTACAACTAGGAACATATTAAGCCCTAGCTCTATTTCTACAACTAGGAACATATTAAGCCCTGGCTCTATTTCTACAACTAGGAACATGTTAAGCCCTGGCTCTATTTCTACAACTAGGAACATGTTAAGCCCTGGCTCTATTTCTACAACTAGGAACATATTAAGCCCTGGCTCTATTTCTACAACTAGGAACATATTAAGCCCTGGCTCTGTTTCTACAACTAGGAACATATTAAGCCCTGGCTCTATTTCTACAACTAGGAACATGTTAAGCCCTGGCTCTATTTCTATAACTAGGAACATATTAATCCCTGGCTCTATTTCTACAACTAGGAACATATTAAGCCCTGGCTCTATTTCTACAACTAGGAACATATTAAGCCCTGGCTCTATTTCTACAACTAGGAGCATATTAAGCCCTGGCTCTATTTCTACAACTAGGAACATATTAATCCCTGGCTCTATTTCTACAACTAGGAACATATTAATCCCTGGCTCTATTTCTACAACTAGGAACATATTAAGCCCTGGCTCTATTTCTACAACTAGGAACATGTTAAGCCCTGGCTCTATTTCTACAACTAGGAACATATTAAGCCCTGGCTCTATTTCTACAACTAGGAACATATTAAGCCCTGGCTCTATTTCTACAACTAGGAACAGAAGCCAATATGTGTACGCAAATGGGGCAAACTCTTCTGCGCAACCAATTACAGTTGGTGTCCCACAGGGAAGTGTCCTTGGCCCTCTTCTCTTTCTCCTATACATAAATGACCTTCCAAATGCTTCGCAATTACTCAAACCCACACTATTTGCAGATGACACTACATACGTCTTCTCTCACCCGAGCCCAGTCACACTAGCCAATACTGTAAATACCGAATTACAGAAAATATCTACCTGGATGAGGACTAACAAACTTACACTAAACATTGACAAAACCTACTTCATTCAGTTTGGTAACAGAGCTACAGATGTCCCCCTTAACATAATGATAAACGGATCACCTATCACAAAGCTAACAGAGGGAAAATTCTTAGGAATCCACCTTGATAATAGACTCAAATTTCATACACATATACAACAAATTTCTAAGAAAATTTCCAAGACTGTAGGCATACTATCAAAGATACGGTACTATGTTCCACAGTCAGCCCTCCTGGCCCTATATCACTCTCTTATTTACCCCTATCTCACCTACGGAATTTGTGCATGGGGCTCAACAACAATTAACCATCTCAGACCACTAATTACCCAACAAAAGGCTGCAGTTAGAATGATAACAAATTCTCACTACAGGCAGCACACTCCACCAATATTCAATACACTAAACCTACTCACCATACAAAACATCCATACTTATTACTGCACCTATTACATACATAGAACACTTAACTCTGATATTAACCCTCCCCTCAAACATCTCCTTGCCAACCTCAACAGAACACATGACCATAACACAAGGCACAGATCACTCTTTGATGTTCCTCGTGTTCATCTCACACTATGCAAAAACTCAATGCACATAAAAGGCCCTAAAATCTGGAATTCATTACCTGTAAATATAAAGTACAGACCGTGCCCGGTTTATAAATTCAAGTCTCTACTCAGGAATCCACTACTACACCAAAACCAAATAAATACTGAATAACTGAACCTTAAAATTGTATATCTTAAATGTTTCTCACAATTATATCACATAAATGTTAAACCTAAAACCGAATCTAACTTTATTATTTTTTAAATACACTACCTAACAGAATCCTTCATATGACTGAATGCAACCATATGACCTGTCTTTGTAATACTCACTTGTGCTTTATAGAAATCTGTTTACATTAATGTTTTATCACTGACTTCATCATTGCTTAGTTAATCTTAAGTTAATTTTAAGCCATCCCGTAATGCTATGCATAGTATAAGTGGCTTTGGCATGCTGCTCTTATCTGTATTTTTTGTACCTCTGTATGTGTGCTCAAATTTATAATAAATAAATAAATAAATAAATAAAGCCCTGGCTCTATTTCTACAACTAGGAACATATTAAGCCCTGGCTCTATTTCTACAACTAGGAACATATTAAGCCCTGGCTCTGTTTCTACAACTAGGAACATATTAAGCCCTGGCTCTATTTCTACAACTAGGAACATATTAAGCCCTGGCTCTATTTCTACAACTAGGAACATATTAATCCCTGGCTCTATTTCTACAACTAGGAACATATTAACCCTGGCTCTATTTTCTACAACTTGGAACATATTAATGCCCTGGCTCTATTTCTACAACTAGGAACATATTAAGCCCTGGCTCTATTTCTACAACTAGGAACATATTAAGCCCTGGCTCTATTTCTACAACTAGGAACATATTAAGCCCTGGCTCTATTTCTACAACTAGGAACATATTAAGCCCTGGCTCTATTTCTACAACTTGGAACATATTAATGCCCTGGCTCTATTTCTACAACTAGGAACATATTAAGCCCTAGCTCTATTTCTACAACTAGGAACATATTAATCCCTGGCTCTATTTCTACAACTAGGAACATATTAAGCCCTGGCTCTATTTCTACAACTTGGAACATATTAAGCCCTGGCTCTATTTCTACAACTTGGAACATATTAAGCCCTGGCTCTATTTCTACAACTAGGAACATATTAAGCCCTAGCTCTATTTCTACAACTAGGAACATATTAAGCCCTGGCTCTATTTCTACAACTAGAACATATTAAGCCCTGGCTCTATTTCTACAACTTGGAACATATTAAGCCCTGGCTCTATTTCTACAACTAGGAACATATTAAGCCCTAGCTCTATTTCTACAACTAGGAACATATTAAGCCCTGGCTCTATTTCTACAACAAGGAACATGTTAAGCCCTGGCTCTATTTCTACAACTAGGAACATGTTAAGCCTGCCTCTCCTTCTATTTCTATACAACTAGGAACATATTAAGCCCTGGCTCTATTTCTACAACTAGGAACATATTAAGCCCTGCTCTGTTTCTACAACTAGGAACATATTAAGCCCTGGCTCTATTTCTAACAACTAGGAACATGTTAAGCCCTGGCTCTATTTCTATAACTAGGAACATATTAAGCCCTGGCTCTATTTCTACAACTAGGAACATATTAAGCCCTGGCTCTATTTCTACAACTAGGAACATATTAAGCCCTGGCTCTATTTCTACAACTAGGAACATATTAAGCCTGGCTCTATTTCTACAACTAGGAACATATTAATCCCCTGGCTCTATTTCTACAACTAGGATCATATTAATCCCTGGCTCTATTTCTACAACTAGGAACATATTAAGCCCTGGCTCTATTTCTACAACTAGGAACATGTTAAGCCCTGGCTCTATTTCTACAACTAGGAACATATTAAGCCCTGGCTCTATTTCTACAACTAGGAACATATTAAGCCCTGGCTCTATTTCTACAACTAGGAACATATTAAGCCCGGCTCTATTTCTACAACTAGGAACATATTAAGCCCTGGCTCTATTTCTACAACTAGGAACATATTAAGCCCTGGCTCTGTTTCTACAACTAGGAACATATTAAGCCCTGGCTCTATTTCTACAACTAGGAACATATTAAGCCCTGGCTCTATTTTCTACAACTAGGAACATATTAATCCCTGGCTCTATTTCTACAACTAGGAACATATTAATCCCTGGCTCTATTTCTACAACTAGGAACATATTAAGCCCTGGCTCTATTTCTACAACTAGGAACATATTAAGCCCTGGCTCTATTTCTACAACTAGGAACATATTAATCCCTGGCTCTATTTCTACAACTAGGAACATATTAATCCCTGGCTCTATTTCTACAACTAGGAACACATTAAGCCCTGGCTCTATTTCTACAACTTGGAACATATTAATCCCTGGCTCTATTTCTACAACTAGGAACATATTAAGCCCTGGCTCTATTTCTACAACTAGGAACATATTAAGCCCTGGCTCTATTTCTACAACTAAGAACATATTAAGCCCTGGCTCTATTTCTACAACTAGGAACATATTAAGCCCTGGCTCT